AGGATACAGACTAACACGGCTGCTACTCTGAAACCTGAGGGGAAAAGGACACTGCCCAACTTACTTGGGGGTGGGTCTTTTGCTCATGGTTTATGTTTATAAACCCTGCTTGTTGTGTTTCCCCAAATTAATGCCAAGTTACTTCCCTCCTTTTATTAAAAGTTTGTTGCTACACTCAGACTCTGTGCTTGCGAGAGGGGAACTATTGCCTCTTAGAGGCACCCAGGGGTGGTGTGTGATTGTCCCAGGTCACTGGGTGGGGGCTCGAGCCGGTTTTGTGTTGTATTGGTGAAAAGGAACCCCTAGATACTGAACCCAGCCCTTCTTGCTTCTGGATCTTTACACCTAGATGGCAAGCTAGAGCTTGGGGAAAGACGGGAGGGAAGACCAGGCATTTCAGGGCTGTTCCTGACTACAAACGGCCTTTGCTTCGTCTCTCGGTTTAAGGACTTCCCAAAGGCTGTCTCCTGTTGACAGCTTTGGGAATTCTGCACTCAGTGCCTTGGGGGTGTTTTGTTCCCCAACAGTCGCCCACCCTGTTGTGGATTTTTATTTAACCCTCTTAGATGTTCTAATACTCTTAGAGATCCATCAGAAACCTTCCACTCCAGAGGGATATATATTATCTACATTTGATAAGACAACTTAATTTCTCTCCATGTCTGTTACTGGTGATAAAACCGGGAGACTTTTATGACCCGGAGTCCTCTGTAAGATTGTCAGGAACTTATTATACAAGGTATAACTGGATTTCTCTCCGCAGATGGCTCACAGCCATGAGCTGTAACGTAATTCTGCAGCACATTTGGTGGAATAAATGCAAAGAGCTTGTTACAGTGAGTTAGATAAGAGAGAAGGGAACACGACTCTTGCAGACTAATTCGGAATCTGATCTGCCTTTTCCTTGCTGTGAAGGACGACTTGGGAAAGTGCATTTTCATATTTCAGAAGGAGGAAGGGACAAGGCCTATCAGTAGCCATGTGGGAAGCTGGCCAGATCCCCAGGAGGGACCATGCTAAGGAGCTGGGCATGAGGGGCAGGCGAGTGTGGTGCTGCCATGGTTTGGCCCCAGCCTCTGAGGCTCTGCTCAGCACCGTCAGTTCCCAGCGCCAGTCCCAGTGGAAGGCAGAGGAAGATTGGAGAGCAGAGTGCACAGAGAGGAAAAAGAGACGCGTGGTCTGGCCCCAGCCCGAGGCTGTGGGACAAACGTGACACGTTAACAGCAAACCCAGCACACCAGGCTCCAGGTCTGGGCACACTGCACACACCTTATACCTGGGGCCTGTGACACATTCCCACACTCTCCCAGTGCCTTTAGCCAAAGAGCAAAGGGTGTGAGACAAAGGGGCCAATGGTTCCGGGCTGGCACCTGCCTTAGACCCACCCAGCACATCTGATGGGACAGCAGGAAATGCCTTTTCCTGGAGGTCGCAGGCGCCAGCTCCACACCTCATCCCTCTCCCATGGGGCTGTCACTGGAAGCTGTGGGGCTTGGCGCCTGGCTGCTCTGCGTGGGGCTGGAGCCTAGAAGTGTATCCCCTGGGATCATATGGGGCAGGGGCACCATGGCATCCCTGCTGGAGTGTCCCAGCCAGTGCTGTCAGCAGGCACTGGGTGCGCCCCAAGCTTTGGGTGGCCTGTGATTGACACGGGGGTCATGAAGGGGGAAGGGCAAGAAGTGAGTGTAGCTGTCAGAGGGGTCAAATGCGGGCCCCCATAATGAGAATTTGGACCCCCTCAACCTACACGTGGCCACTTGTGGGGCTGTGGGCTCCCAAGGGCCAGATCCTATTGTCTGCACGTTGCAGCGCAAACACGAGCTGCTCAGCACAGAACAGCCTGCTCGGCGTCCTTACACGTAGCATGGAACTGCCAGAAGCCAGTGACGCCAGCCCGTAGCCTGTGCGGGGCCTCCTCGCGCACCGCGGGCAGAGCAGGAGAACGCGCTGCTCCTTTGCCCCGCTCAAGGCTCGGGGCTGTGCCAGTCCCAGCACTGCACTGGCACCAGCTCAGCGCCGCGGCTCCCCTGCTCAGCGCAGGCCTAGACGCCATGGGGCTCTGAATGCCGGCGGTCACTAGCACCCACCACAGGCACTGCACTGCCTGAAGCCCAGGGCAGATAAGGGCAGGTGGGAGTGTCCAGGTGCCGAGTGTGAAGCCCTCTCCGTCCACTACAGCACTCCTGCGTCACGCAGCCCGACGGCCACACACTGCGCAGGAGCTGCAGCGTTAGTGTCACCGGAGAGGCTGCGTGAACACCAGGCCTCTCTCGGGGGGCTCCAGGACTGCTCAAAGGGAGACAGAGGTGGGGACAGCCCAGACCCTGTTACACAACGTCCGTATGGCGAGAGCAGAAACTGCAGCCGGGGCGTTCCCTGACCGGACGGTGCACAGGGAGAAAGGCAGCTGGCAGAAGTGACTCACGTTCACGCGCTCTGCTTTTCGCAGCCGAATGGGAGTGTGGCTGCGGCCCTTCCTGCACCGGAGATGAGGGATGGCAGGTCACTTTCTGAGCCCATTACGGCACGTGCCATGCTCTCATCCTTTACGGTTATCACAGAGTCCGTCCACAGCTGTGCCCAGATAAAAGGCTGGTGATTTTTTATTTACTTATTTTTGATGTCAGCGTCCTGTGGGCGGCGAGCCACGCGGCACGCTCATTTATCTCCATTTGCTCCCGCCTGCTGCCTGCCCCTAATTTCCAGCCAGAGCCAGGGAGGTGAAACCTTATCTCGCCGGTGTGCCGGCACTCGCAAAACACTTGTGGCCTCGCCTTGTAGAAGTCCTGACAGGGCTATTTAGTGTCAGGGCAGCTGGCTCCGCAGCCTGGCAATGCAATCAGCCGTGCTGCAGCCAGCCAGCCAGCCAGAAGCCTTCCCCTTCACAAAACTTCTCCTTCTCTGCCGGGCACCGCTCCAGCGAGGCCGCGGAGAGACCCACGCTCAACAGCCTTGACTTCACATGCTCCTGGCTGAGGGACGTTTCCCAGCGCCACGCACTGGCTCCCCAGGACCAGCGGGGCACCCGGGCAGAACCCTGGACAGAGTTACAAACTGTTTGCAAAGGAAACATTAAAAAATATCCCCAGCCTTTTCTGCCACTTCTCCACCAGCCTCCCTGGGACTCGCTAAATACTGACCCCACCGGCCAAACGTCACATGACACACACGTGCCCCCTCCACTGAGCCACTTGCCCCCCCCCCACAGAGTAAGGACAGAGCTAATTCCCCTCCTTCAGCCTAACCAAGCCAAGAGCCCTGGTTAGATCAGCCAGCTAGTGCCAGGCTCCCGTGCTGCTTCTGGGCCTCACTACCGCTCCCGCGCTGGCTCTACGTGGCTGCCCTCACCAGCCCCTGGGCCGCCCTCCCTCTTACACTGTGGGAACAAAGATACAGCTTGGACACGCTGCAGCATTTGCTTGTTGCTTTGGCATTATTCCGTAAGTGCAAGGCACTAAGCTGCTGAACGCAGCCACCTCTCCCAGCGCGCGGCGGCTCTGCATGGCAGCACACGGCGGGACTGCGAGTGGCTCTGTGGAGGGGGCGTGGAGGGGGCGCGTGGCTCGTGTGGGGGGGGCGAGGTGGGCTCGTGGT